TTTTCAAGTCTGCAGCAGTTGCAGACAATTTGGCTTTGCCTATACTGAAATCTGTTATAGCTAAAATCTTATAAAATAGATTCAAGTTATTGCCAGATTCCCATGCGTACAACAGCACAGATCGAAAAACATTCAAAAAAAAAGTTGTATTTGTGGATTCCACAGTTGACATGAATGGCGTAGTGGGTTATGTTGTGTTCTGGTTGGTTCGATTCCGAGCTCAGGACGGGTCATTTCTTAAGTAGAATTAAGCTGTCAAAGCAATGGAAGCCAGTGATGACTATGTCATGCTAATCATGAAGGAAACCCGGTTGTTTCCCGACCATGTTGTAAAAACGCATTTCTGAGGCTTCCTGCTACCGAGGTTTTTTGAATCCTTGAATTTTTTTTTTTTCCGTTTGACATCGATGCGAGTTTTTTTTTTCTTTTTTTTTTTTAGATCTTCGTCGATGTGGTCGATGACGGCAGTGAATTCGACTTCGCCAGCACCTCCGTCAAGTGCGCCACGTGATCTTACCATAATGCAGTCAACCAATGGAGATCCACAAACACTGATCCTGAACTGGCAACCTCCCAAATATGCTAATGGAGATATCCAAGGTACCATAGTTAGGTTAATGTCAGTCGCTTAAATGAAACTGGCACTAATACGAGAGGAATTTACGGGTTTTTCTTCAGAATATTTGGTGTATTATTCGGACCGATCGGATGCGCCCGAAAAAGACTGGGTTTTGGATGGGGTGAAAGGTGATCACCTCTCGATCAAGCTAACCAATTTATTGCCACGACAAACGTATTTCTTTAAAGTGCAAGCTCGAAATTCCAAGGGATATGGCCCATTGTCGCCAACGCTGCAGTACGTTCCAGGCGCTCCTCCTCCAAAATTATTCCAGGTACCCCCTGTTTCTAGGGCTTTTGGAATGTTTTATTGCAAAATTTTGTCAAAGATGTAATTTCTGATTGCGAACTGCTATGCATTTGTTAAAATGTATTTTTTTTCAAAACAGATAATAACTGTAGTTATTTTTGTCTTTTCTAA